AACTATTGAAGAACTTACGTGTAATATTGCAAAACACTCAGCAATGGCCAAAGTTTTAGCGGTATCGAAAATCATCATCTGGGACGAATGCACAATGGCGCATAAACGTGCATTAGAAGCACTTAACCGAACATTAAAAGATTTACGCAATGACTCGAGATGTTTTGGAGGAGGAATAATTTTACTTTCTGGCGATTTCCGCCAAATACTGCCAGTAATTCCAAGATCTACGGCTGCCGACGAAATAAACGCTTGCCTCAAATCGTCAAATCTATGGCGCCATGTGAAGAAACTGCAACTGACAACAATCATAAGAGTTATATTGCTTAATGATACATCTGCTGAACATTTCTCGGAGCAATTGCTGACTATCGGTAATGGTCAAGTACCTGTCAATGAATCGAGCGGATTAATATAATTTCAAAATAATTTCTGTAATTTTGTCTCATCGAAAGACGAATTTATCAACAATGTATTTCCAGAAATTATTTCTAACTAAAAAAATAATGAATGGTTGCGTGAGACAACAATTTTAGCGGCTAAGAATAAAGATGTAGATGACCTAAACTACATAATTAAAAAAAAAGATCATTGGAACAATGCATTCATTCAAATCTATTGACTGCGTCACAAATGAAGATGAAGCCACCAACTATCCAATTGAATTTTTAAAGTCTTTGGACGAGCCTGGCTTACCACCGCACAATTTACGCCTAAAAGTTGGCTCCGTAGTAATCATGCTTCGAAACATAAACGAACCAAAACTGTGCAACGGTACGCGTTTGGTGGTTAGAAAATTGATTAACAATGTAATTTACGCTAAGATAATGATAGGAAAATTCAAAGGTGAGGAAGTTGTCATTCCGAGGATACCGATGATCCCAACCGACATGCCGTTATTTTCGCCTGTTATTTTACTGCGGATCGCTTCACCTCTTTGCCTCGCTGCTGGCACAGACAGGAGTTTACCTGAGATCAGACGAAAACAGTCACCGTCCACTGCAGAACGTGAATTTTCTACCTTCGGAAATCTTTTGGAAACTTTCTCGTGGTACATTCTTCCCCGGATTTATCAAGAAGCTGCAGGCCACATTTCATCCCTACCAAGAGTAGTGGTGGTGTGCTCAAGCGTGCTTGAGCGTTGCGACACGTTCAATCCTGTCCAGCTGCGCACCTCAATTGGATTTCTGCGAATCAACTCGCTAAGGAGAGCATTACAACAAGCTCGCTTGCGAGAATAGTTCTGAGTATCGTAGATTTAGTTGCCTTTTCTTTTGTATTTATTTAAGAATATTTTACTGATTAACTTTACGACTCCTATTATAGTGTAAAACTTTGTGTGCAGTTTTGACATAACATTTATCCACATTTATAAAGTCTACAGCAACGCTTCAACAGTCATCAGGCCTGAGGACAACGTTGGACTCTGCGTAAGTACGGCATAGCCGTCAACATTCCTAGTCTCTTGTGAGTCTGCACACTCCTTTTTATACCCTTGCAGAGGGTATTATAATTTTGGTCAAAAGTGTGCAACGCAGTGAAGGAGACATCTCCGACCCTATAAAGTATATATATTCTTGATCAGGATCACCTCCTGAGTTGATATAGCCATGTCCGTCTGTCCGTCTGTCCGTCTGTCTGTTTCTACGCGAACTAGTCTCTCAGTTTTAAAGCTATCGGAAACTTTGCACACACCCTTCTTTCCTTTGCACGCAGTATATAAGTCGGAACGGCCGGGATCGGCCGACTATATCCTATAGCTGCCATATAACTGATTGATCGGAAATGCCATAACTTTCGTGTTTGTAAAGTTAGGAAGTTGGGATTTTCTATGGGTTTTATATTTGGCCAATCAATCCGACCTACCAAATTTCATTAGGATCGGCCGACTATATCCTATAGCTGCCATATAACTGATTGATCGGAAATGCCATAACTTTGGTGTTTGTTAAGTTAGGAAGTTGGGATTTTCTATGGGTTTTATATTTGGCCAATCAATCCGACCTACCAAATTTCATTAGGATCGGCCGACTATATCCTATAGCTGCCATATAACTGATTGATCGGAAATGCCATAACTTTGGTGTTTGTTAAGTTAGGAAGTTGGGATTTTCTATGGATTTTATTTTTGGCCAATCAATCCGACCCACCAAATTTCATAAGGATCGGCCGACTATATCCTATAGCTGCCATATAACTGAACGATTGGAAATGCCATAACTTTGTTGTTGTTAAAGTTAGGAAGTTCGGATTTTTATGAGTATTAAGAATGCATCATATGAATAATTTTGGAGAATATAATTTACAGAGTATTCTGCAAGGGTATATCAACTTCGGCTCCGCCCGAAGTTAGCTTTCCTTTCTTGTTATACTTTATTTTATACAAATAAATTTAACTCGTAAATTTAACGTAATCACACCCTAAGAGCTGTTGCTTTTTGAACAAGAAAATCTTATTGAATAGAGAAACCATATAAATATCTACATAATTTAAATATATTCATATTAGCAAGAAATAAGGACCTGATGTAGTCCCATAAAACATACATTGACGTAAAACTAAATTTACTTCTTAATTCCTTTATAACCTTAGTAAAATATAATTACACACATATAGACACAAACAAAACGAATACCGATTTCTAGATTTTAGGACATAGTGTTAGGAACTTTAGTATATAAGAAACATGAACCTAAATTTGATTTTGTTGAAGTAAATAATGTTTAAGATGAACTAATTGGTTACTTTTTGGAGGGCACTTATGGGTATGTAGAGCAATAGTTATTCATGGGTGGAATCTAATTAGATTTCACATGGTAGAGTGGGTATAGAACGAGGCCAATAACATCTGGTCCTCAATCTTCTATAGGTGCACTGTCTTTGTCCGAGTTTAGCTATAGAGCTGGTTATCTTTTGCTATCGTTTCTCTGTCTACTACTGTTAGTTCTGTAACACATCTTGTTCTCTCTTAACACAAACCCACCCCACTCTCCCTGAGCAAGCTGGTCGAAAATGTAGACAGAGCGTGTTAGGAGGGACAACGCTCGATGAGTGTGTTCGTTACAAATTAGTAACATTTTATGAGCTCGATGCATGTCATGTGTCATTGTGTAAACCTATCTTGAGCCATTAATTAAGATACGTATGTTTAATTTTACACAGGATCGGTATTATCACTTGTGATCTCTAAGTACAGGCCACTTACCCTAACCAAATATATTCACCAAAGATGTTTCTCCCGCTGCCCCAAGTTTTATTTCTGGCTTAATATTGTCTGATCTTAACACTTGCAATAATATGTCCGATTCCCTTAATGTATATTACACTGCAATAAACTCATTTTTTAATTACTGTGTACCGTGGTACTGTTAGTCAATAACTCAAAGATTTAAACACTTAAGAAATTTAAGGTCCAGACTTTATATGAAATATATATACTCGTATAAACGGTTCTCAATCTGTTTTCGGTAGATACTTAAGTGCTCTGTCAAGATTCAAACCGTTGTAAAGTCCAGTTCTCGCAGAACCCAGTTTTATAACTTTATATAACTTTGTTAGGGCCGTCGTTTTAAAACTCGACAGATCAGGCAACAGCCAATTTATTTTCCCGATTTCTTTAAACGACTTATTCTTCTTTAGATAATTAATCACAGCCTTGATCTTATCCAATTCGAACCTCATATTCTGTTCTACTTTAACCGAAAGCTTTCTTCTTTTGGATCTTCTTAGCGTTAAGCCTGTTTATTCGTCAGGGCCTAAGTGCCTACTTCGGTATTGAGCCCTGTGCAAACCCACAAATTATTTACCTTATCTCTAGAATCTTCCACATATTTCGAAGGAATCATTTAGAATTCCTCTTCACAAGAAATGTAAAAAGTAAGAGGCCAGTAACTTTAGAGGTATATTTAAATTGTCAGGTATCACTAAGTTAAAAAAAAATGTAAATCAATTATATATCCGTGTCAACACGGACTCATAGACATATTCATATTCATTATATATTCATATTCATTAGAACTATATTTTCAACACATCAAAAGACATAAAAAAGAATCGAGACCAAATCAAACAAAAAATACAAATAAAACAAAATAGCTGCCCGTTATAAATTGATAGAGCTAGGACTAAGCAGAAATGGAGGAAAACCCGAATTGCAAAACCGGCTGCTTGTTCACTGTGGTTTGCAAATTGATGAAATCAATGAGGAAGAAACTGAAATGGATGAATATGAGGCCGGATTTTTTGTTTATGTAATCATCGAATAATGCACAGGCCGGTAGAAATGGTTGATCCGAAAGGAATTCAATTGTAGGTCGGCAATACTGTCAAGGTCAGGGTTTACCCTGAAAGCTGTATAAGGGAGTGTGCCGCAGTTTTCGGGAAATAATTCACCAGAAGTAAATCATGGATTGACGAACTTGGAGAATACGCACTAAATGTGGAATGGAGTCAGTTGCAGGTTTTCATTTATGCTAAACAACTGCTCAGCAGAGCAGCTTAGCTTTTTATTCGGAGTCAGATGTTTAGGATGGGAGATCATTAAAAAACGCTTTATTCGGTATTCTTGGTTTGAGGGTCTTATTAGAAGAAGTACATTGTAATCTTGGCAAATGGGAGCAGAAGAAGTGAATCGTTACATGAGTACATGTAACGTATTGGCAAAGCCAATTGATCTAAATATCAGGTTGTCAAATATCTCCCTTCCATTTTTTTTGGTTTTTGAATCTGGCGGCTTTGTGCAAAGCGCTACATATCGGTATCGGGCAATGCTATACATCGATTGAAAGGGGGGGATAAACCCAAAAAAAAAAAAATAAAAAAAAAATTTTTTTTTTTTTTTTTAGAAATGTCATACATTGGTATACCTGGGATCGCGCTGTTTTAAAGTTTTCCTTCGTTAAAGCTAAATCCGCTAGAGGAACATTCCTTGAATCCCCAGGGCGGAGTATCCCCAATGTCCTTACAGATTCCACAACATAAACATCGATATACGCGCGTCTCACTTCACAAAAACTATCGCCATCACTAACAAACAAAACAAACCAAAATGTAAACAATGCAAACAATTAGGAGTGACGGGAAATATATGGTGTTTTGGTGGCTATTGGTGACCTAGCCAAGCACGCCCACCCAACCAAGGATGCCCCGGAGGATTCTGCGGAGGCATCACCCATAATCAGCTGGTCCAAGTCACTCCTCGCGACTAGGACAGCTCCATCTCCCCCACAACGACAACTCACTCGTACATTTCAGTCTTCATGTACATTTAATATCCACAGTAAGTACTAAAGTTAACATAACTTGCTCTCCTAGTAATTAAATTATCCTTTCATAGCCTCTACGACCAAACTTGGCCACCGTCTCCAAATTTAACCGGTCAAAGCGGAAGATTACCTTCCTTTGGCAAAGGCTACAGGCGCCGCGGAAATAATGTTCCACCAGTCACTTATTGGTGGAACTCGCATTGAACGAGGCGCACAAAAGCACACACACGGTTAGTGTGTCGGGTCACCTAATCCTGAGGAGCTCCTGGGGAAAAGAAGGGACAGGCCAAACGGTAAGTATTACGCGCTGTAAACAATCCCGCCGAAAACTAATAATCGCGACCCTTTTTTACAGGCAACAACGAGGACAAGAATTGAGGTTTTCGGGTCTAAGTCCGGATAAATTTACAGGTCAACAGGTAAGTACATAAATTTAATAATGTGTACAGTTAAATTAACGTTAATAATTTCAACCACTTCTGGGCTAGGCGCCGGGCTAACTATGCCCCGACCACAGTGTACTCTGCCGGAGACCAGCAGCAGCAAGGGCCTGGAACACCCCGAGGAGCGGTGGCGAAGGCGAGCCTGATGGCGGTGCCTCTCAACGCCGCGCGCACTGGCAGCCTTACGACCCCAAAACAGGTGGGTCTTAATAGCCCGGAACGGACTCACCGGCGTATATAAGAAAGCGTTGGCGGCGTCCGAGGATGACGAGTTATGGTGTCCAAAACGTATCTCTGGGTTGTAAGAAGGTGCGTATAGGTACGCATGCCATTAAAGTCCAGATTTTAAGTCCCGATTTAATCTTCCGATTGAATATCCCAATTTTAAATATCCAATTTGAACGTCCAATTTAATTAGTCCAATTGAGTCTTCCAATTTGAATTCCGGATTTAAACTTCCGATTTAAATTCCTCCAATTTAAATTTCCAGACTTAATTAGTCCAATTTTATATGTCCAATTAAGTCTTCTAGTTTGAACTTCCAATTTAAATTTCCTCCAATTTAAAATCACGATTTATTTCCAATTTGATTTTCCAGATTTAATTCCCTCCAATTTGAATGTCCAATTTGAATTTCAATACAATTTTATAAATTATAATAGGGGCCCTTTGTATTGGGACCCCGGTTGCCCTACGAATAATTATTTATAAATAAAATGAACTATTAAACCTAACACAAATTTTTCTAACACTCACTTTTTATATATTTCGGCACAAACACTATTTTAACATTTTTATGTTCTGTCTGCTGGGACAATATGGCTGCGACTATATAGAAATTTGCCTATCATGCCTATATCTCGCCATATTCCCTTCGCCTCTCTCGAAATTGGGTCATTGGACATATCAAGGCCATCCTAGCCATACCCAGAGCGAACCGGGCTAGTTTAAATAGCTAGATAGCCAAGACATCAGCAGAAGGGGGCGCCACTCCAGTAGGGGTTGCCACCCTCCTACTTTATCGATAGCCCTACCAAAAACGAATACCTTCTTCCTAATTCCTCCAGCCGATTCCAACTTGAAATGCAACACCACCCAAGGATTTAGAGAGACGCCTTCGAACCATGGCCACTCGACGAAATCATTGGGAGCATTGGAGATCGGTGTCCGGTGAAATCCGAATGCAGTTCCAAACGGTGCCCTACGCGGGGCCCACGCATGCCGGTAAGTACTGCCTTTGTTTTTTTGTGTTGTGCTCCTTTAATTTATGCTGCCTCTTTTCAGGTTATACTCGGATGTCCTTGGCGTGATACACCCCTATCCGACGTCCTTGAAGATCCTCCAGCTCGTAAGCATTGTTGCCGACAGCTTTCACCACCCGAGCTTTGAGGAATTTCCGAGCAAACTTCGCGTTAAAGGCACTTTTGAAGTCGCTGAGGACGAAGTTACGGCGATACACTTCCTGGCCTGGCTTCGCAAGGAACGTCCGAGCTCTCTGGTCGTACTGCTGGCGACTTCGCTCGTACGACTTTTCGAGATTCGTCTGCACCTTGGCCTGGATCACTTTGAGCTTGTCGACTGTTCCCATCCCAGCAATCTCATGGTCGCACAGGGATTTCAACTTTCTCGCCAGCTTGTAGCTGGCCCCGTTCAAGAACATGTGATGACCGAAAACCGTGAAGAAGGGCGTTTCGCCAGTTGCTGCGTGTATCGCGTTGCGAAGAGCCACCTCGATCTCCGGGAGAAATGCGTCCCATTCCCGTTGGTCTTCCTCCAAATAACTCCGGATTGCCGCCAGCACGCTTCGATTAACTCGTTCTGCGGCGTTGCTTTGCGGAGAGTAGACTGGAGTCTTGATGTGGGAAATGCCGAAACTCTCCATTGCCTCCACGAAGATCTTTGACGTAAACTGTCGACCGTTGTCTGAGTGAATGATTTCCGGGACCCCGAACTTGTAGAATACCTCGTGGATGAGGAATTCTACCACGCTGGCGGCCGAGGCTTCCTTCATGGCTTTCAGAAACGTATACTTCGAAAAATGGTCGACGACAATGAAGATCCATGCGTGGCCCTTCTTCGACCTCGGATATTTTCCAAGAAAATCGATGTACAATTTCTGAAATGGCTGCTCAGTCTGGACTCTTTCCCCAATACCAACTTGCATCCGGAAATTCGGCGCCTTGGACTCCTTACAGATATCACATCTGCGTACGAAAGCTCGGACCTGCAGCACCATACCTGGCCAGTAGAACTGTTGCCGTAGGATTTCCAGAGTCTTTCCCATTCCGCCATGAGCTGCTGTTGGGTCCGTATGCGCACGCTCGATTAGGCTGTGGGTCAGACTCTGTGGGATCCACAGTTTCCATTCGGAACCTTCCATCTCCTCGTCCAGATTTACCGAAGAGACTCTCTTGAAGATGAGACCATCCACGATCTTCAGGTCCGGTAAGTTATCCAAGTTACTTTCCACCTCCTTCACTAACTCGAGATAATCTTCTCCAGCGAACTCGGTGGTTTCGAACCCCAACAAATCCGTCGGATTAACTACGAGCTCCTCCACACACCGTGAAAGGGTGTCTGCCACGACGTTCTCACTTCCTTTTCGGTGCTCGATGTTGAAGTGGAACCCTTGAAGCTGCAGCGACCACCTCGCCAACCGTCCCGACAGATCCTTCATGGACATGAGCCACTTCAAGCTGGCATGATCCGTGATGCAGGTGAATGGCATCCCTTCGACATATGGCCGGAACTTCCGGATGGCCATGAGCGCCGCGAGACACTCTTTCTCGGTCACGGTGTAATTTACCTGATGTTTATTCATCTTGGCCGAGAAAAAGGCAATTGGCTGCTCTTGTCCGTCGTCGTCTCGCTGGAAAAGCACCGCCCCGACTCCGACGTGTGACGCATCGCACTGGATACAAAACCGTCTCTTGAAGTCTGCATGCACCAGGACTGGTGCAGTCGTTAAAGCCATCTTCAATGACTCTACGGCTAGCTGGGCCTCTGGACTCAAGGAAAACTTAGAATTTCCAGTTTTCTTCAGCGATTCAGTGAGCGGGGCGGCCAACGTCGCAAAGTTCTTTATGAACCGGCGGTACCATCCAGCAGTCCCAAGGAACGCTCTCACCTCCTTTATCGTCCTAGGCTCTGGCATCCCCCTGATCGCTGCTACTCGTCCCGGATCCATTCGTAGACGACCTCCGCCAACGATAAAGCCCAGGTAGGTCAATGATTTGAAGCAAAACTTTGACTTACTCATACCTATCGTTAACCCCGCTGCTTTCAGGCATTCCGCGACTCTCCGAAGGTACTTGAAGTGGGTCTGGATATCTGGAGCCAGTATCAGCAGATCATCGAGGTAGACAAAAACGTTGGAGCGGATCTCAGCTGGGATCACTCGGTCCATAAGTCTCACCAACCGCTGCGCCGCGTTGCAAAGTCCGAAGGGCATAACCCGGAACTGGTAGAGAGGCCTACCAAAAACCGTAAATGCCGTCAGTTCCTTGCTCTTCGGGTCCAACTCGATCTGCCAGAATGCGAACTTCAAATCCACGCTGGAAATGTAGAACGTTTGGTCGATTCTGGACAGGATTCCGTCGATACTCGGCAGCGGGTAAGCGTCTTTAATGGTCAAATCGTTCAATTTGCGCGCGTCTAAGCAGAACCGATCTTTCCCAGGCCTCGACACTACCGTCGTCCGGTTGCTCCACGGGCTCATGCTCTCCTCGATGACTCCGAGCGCTAGCATCTTGTCCACCTCATCCTCGACAACCTTCTGCTTCGCTGGAGACATGGGCTATGGCCGATCCTTGAAGACCTTGGCTCCCTCGATCAGCTCGATCGTGTGCTTCTCCAAATTCGTCGTACCCAGACCATCCTTCTCAAATGTGAGAAACACCTCCTGGATCTCCGCGAGCTGTCGTGCGTCGGCCTCAGATAACGTCCAGGATTCGGGATCCGGTTTCTCCTCGTCGTCATGTTCCTGTTCGGCGTAGTGCTCCATATCCCTAGCGTGGATTTCGTCTGCCTTGACGCTTTCCGGGTCGCTGGGGCCTATCACCGCTGGAGCCAAGCCAAACGCCTGCCAGAAGTCCACTCCGAAATAGGCTTCCTGCTCCAGGTATGGACATACATAGAACAGGATCCGCTTTATCTGTCCTCTGTACTCAACAGGTAGCTCGACGCGTCCTATAATCGTGCGGTCCTCTCCAGACGCCGTTCGGACCACGGACAGGTACTTCTGGATTGGTACATCCAACGCCTCGACGAGCTCTCTTCCACCTTTGCCCAGCAGGCTGACACTAGCTCCTGTGTCCAATAAGCCAGTCAGCTGTTGGGTCAGGATCCGGACTTCAGCGAATGGTCGAGGGTCTCCCGTTCCACTGCGCTTCACAGCGGCAACCACTTCTCGCCTCTTCGCTCGTCTCTTACGGAATCGATCCCTGGCCTTCTGGACTTTCCTAGACACCGTTCGCATGCCGGCTAACTGGTGCCCGGAGAAAATTCGGTTCCTGGTCTCCAGGTACCGACGCATCCTTTCCTCATAAGGTAAGTATTTTAAATGGTTCTTATAACTACTCGTACATACTAAACCTTTTTTACATTCTAGAACATTTACTGCATCGCGGGACTCTTGTCTGGACGCATCCTTCCCGCTCTCAGATCGCCCAGCCGACCGTTTTCCGCGCAATCCGGACATCTCGGAGACACAGTGTCTGGCCTTCCGCATCGGTAGCAGAACAGGCGCCGTTCTGTTGCCGCGCAGTCACGGAACCCGTGGTCTACGGCTCCGCAATTCCAGCAGCCCGCTCGGAACGGATTTCGGGTCTCCGCTTGCAACGCCTCCACCTGCCACTGGGAATCCTCTGCAGTATCTGGACCAGCTGCCTCGCTAACCCTGGCCTTCTCCGCCGGAGGATAACGCATCGGGTGCGCATAGGCCGCACGTCCTCGTCGTCCAAAATTGCGCTCCACCTCGCAGCACTCTTCCCTCAACTCGTCCACAGTCATCACATCCATTGCGTAAACAAATCTTGCAATACCCTCTCTCAAGCCCTTTTTAATTATTTTAACCATCTGTCGCTCTGACAGTGGTTTTTTTAGGCGAGAGGCTAGCTGCTGCATCGCATGGACATAGTCCTCAACGGCTTCTCCCGGCTGCTGTTCCCTCTGCAGAAGCTGATGCATCCGGTCGTGCTCCGTCTGGTGGCCTCGGAACCTGTCCATCAGCGCAGCACGCAGCTGTGGCCATCTCTCCACCCTACGTTGACGCACGTGGACCCAATACCACTCGCGTGCCCGTCCGGTTAGCAGCACATGGAAATGCCGGAGCACTTCCTGCCAAGGGCACTGGTACTGCCGCTGCAGGAACTCGAGCCGGAACAGGAAATCTTCCACCGAGTTTCGCTCGTCCTCGCCATCAAATGAAACGCCCCACCGCTCGATGCGAACCTGTTGGCTGCCGCCACCTGGCCCTATATTGGCATAAAAGCGCGGCTCCTCGCGGAAATCAGAAGCCCTGCGGTCCTCGAAGTGCCAATTTCGAGGCTCGTTGCGTCGCCCTCGTCCGCCATCCAGAGGATATCCTGGACTGCTGCTCTCCACCTGAAACGACTCCAAGGGCCTCCTAGGCGGCTTTGGTGGAACCCTTGGTGGCGGTGGACGGGAGCCAATCGAACTTGCTGATGGTGCAGTCTTTGGAATCGCCCCTTTCTGGACCAGACTTGGAGCCAGTGGTGCCGCCGTGTCCGTCCAACCCGGAGGTTGCTGCTGATCGGTATGGTTCCCCTGTGGAAGCTGCGGCCGCTGAGCAGCAGGCCTTAACACCTCGTTCATCAGCTTCATCATTTCCAGGAACCCACCTCGGATTTCATCCCTTAAGGACTGGCTGACGCCGGACTCCTGAGCCTTCCGATGGGTCTCTGCCGCCTGGGCCAATGCCACATTTACTGCCGATTTCGCCGCGTTGTCCAGAAACGCCTCCGAGCTCACTTGCTCCGGAACTTGATGTTGCGTGGGATCTGCTCCCATCTGAAGTTCCCTGCGCAGCTCCTGATGAAGACGACCCAACGGAGTCCTTGGCAGTCCCATCGATATCCGTGGCTGTTCGGCCCCGGCAACCTCATCTAAATCGGTGGACCACAACTTCTCCTCTTCCTCGGCCGGAAGAACCTTCGATCGGAGATCGTAATTGGAAGGCATCGTACAGCACAACAAAAAAATATATATGTATATTTCCCTAAAAATTCTAATATAACACCCGAAACAAATCACCAAAAGAAATAAATACTTAAGAAGAAAAATAAATATAATAACGACAAGTAAATAATAAATAAACAGATAAATATATATACATGTAAGAACAGATAATAATTATTGAAACAAATTTTTAAATAACTAAATAAATGTATAATTTTAGGAAAGATATTTATAATTTTTTTTGTAAATAAATAAATACTTGGGAAAATGAATAAATAATTTAGATAAATAAATGGAATTAATAAATAGAATAAATAAATAGATAAATAAATAATATATTATATTTATGATTTTTCCTTTTTATTTTGTTTCTTTTAAGATTTGAATTTGGGGAGATGGAACTGACCCTCGCCGGTGGACTTCCGACCTAGCTCGTCCGGTGCTTTCCAAAACCCAATTTTTCCCGTCACATCCTTCCACACGCCGCTCGTCGACTGGACTGGCTATCACTCTTGGTGATAGCCGCCAGTTAAGGACATCGGCTGCTCGTTGAGTCCTGTTGGCTTTGTTTTCCCGTTTGTGGTTTGATCCTTAAATCGAGGTGTTCGTGCAGCGCGTGTACATAAGTCACGGGTCACGAACACACATTTAAGCATCCAACCGACAGAAGGTATCAAACACATCCGAGAAACAAAAGCCTCAGGATCAACAAAAACAACAACTACGGATTAACTACAACGGACTTTACCCCAAAACACAAAATATAAATATAAATAAATAAATAAATAAAAATCTACGCCCTAACTATTTTATCACAGTTTACATATGTATATCACAGAGTTATTGCACGGACCACCTTCGGATGCAAATCCTTCGATCCTATTACAGGCGAAGATGCCACCCGGCGGTCACGACCAGTGTTCTCTGTGACCAGGAGCCATTGCCTCTACTCGGAGTCAAGCCTCCTGCCTGCTCAAAAAAAATCCCCTAAGCCTGTCACTCTGCCTCGCAGCCCACCACTCTCGGTGCAGTTGCATACAACCTGCTGTTGCTCTGCAAGTCACCGGAGCGGAGGCTATGCGAGGCAAATCCCTATATGCGAGACGTCGTCGTCTCGACGATTTATTTTTTTACATTGGGCGCCACTATGTTATGGAACTGCATTTGGTCCTGGGACGGCGCCGGCTAGCTCCCGAATCCCCAGGGCGGAGTATCCCCAATGTCCCTACAGATTCCACAACATAAACATCGATATACGCGCGTCTCACTTCACAAAAACTATCGCTCATCACTAACAAACAAAACAAACCAAAATGTAAACAATGCAAACAATTAGGAGTGACGGGAAATATATGGTGTTTTGGTGGCTATTGGTGACCTAGCCAAGCACGCCCACCCAACCAAGGATGCCCCGGAGGATTCTGCGGAGGCATCACCCATAATCAGCTGGTCCAAGTCACTCCTCGCGACTAGGACAGCTCCATCTCCCCCACAATGACAACTCACTCGTACATTTCAGTCTTCATGTACATTTAATATCCACAGTAAGTACTAAAGTTAACATAACTTGCTCTCCTAGTAATTAAATTATCCTTTCATAGCCTCTACGACCAAACTTGGCCAACGTCTTCAAATTTAACCGGTCAAAGCGGAAGATTACCTTCCTTTGGCAAAGGCTACAGGCGCCGCGGAAATAATGTTCCACCAGTCACTGTATTGGTGGAACTCGCAGTGGAACGAGGCGCACAAAAGGGCACACACTAGGTAGTGTGTCGGGTCACCTAATCCTGAGGAGCTCCTAGGGAAAAGAAGGGACAGGCCAAACGGTAAGTATTACGCGCTGTAAACAATCCCGCCGAAAACTAATAATCGCGACCCTTTTTTACAGGCAACAACGAGGACAAGAATTGAGGTTTTCGGGTCTAAGTCCGGATAATTTTACAGGTCAACAGGTAAGTACATAAATTTAATAATGTGCACAGTTAAATTAACGTTAATAATTTCAGCCACTTCTGGGCTAGGCGCCGGGCTAACTATGCCCCGACTACAGTGTACTCTGCCGGAGACCAGCAGCAGTAAGGGCCTGGAACACCCCGAGGAGCGGTGGCGAAGGCGAGCCTGATGGCGGTGCCTCTCAACGCCGCGCGCACTGGCAGCCTTACGACCCCAAAACAGGTGGGTCTTAATAGCCCGGAACGGACTCACCGGCGTATATAAGAAAGCGTTGGCGGCGTCCGAGGATGACGAGTTATGGTGTCCAAAACGTATCTCTGGGTTGTAAGAAGGTGCGTATAGGTACGCATGCCAATATCCAGATTGTAAGTCCCGATTTTATCTTCCGATTGAATATCCTCCAATTTTAAAAATCAATTTGACGTCCAATTTAAATTTCCAATTTGATTTTTCCAGATTTAATTCCCTCCAATTTAAATGTCCAATTTGAATTTCCAATTTAATTTAAAGTCCAATTTTATTATTGTCCAATTTAAGTTCTTCAATTTCAATGTCCAATTTGAATTTCCAATTAGTCCAATTTTATATGTCCAATTAAGTCTTCTAATTTGAACTTCCAATTTAAATATCCCGGGGCCCTTTGTATTGGGACCCCGGTTGCCCTACGAATAATTATTTATAAATAAAATGAACTATTAAACCTAACACAAATTTTTCTAACACTCACTTTTTATATATTTCGGCACAAACACTATTTTAACATTTTTATGTTCTGTCTGCTGGGACAATATGGCTGCGACTATATAGAAATTTGCCTATCATGCCTATATCTCGCCATATTCCCTTCGCCTCTCTCGAAATTGGGTCATTGGACATATCAAGGCCATCCTAGCCATACCCAGAGCGAACCGGGCTAGTTTAAATAGCTAGATAGCCAAGACATCAGCAGAAGGGGGCGCCACTCCAGTAGGGGTTGCCACCCTCCTACTCTAATTCCTCCAGCCGATTCCAACTTGAAGATAGCCCTACCAAAAACGTTTTAAGCCATCTGCAGAAGGCTGGATACAAAAAAAGCTGGATGTTTGGGTGCCGCATGATTTGACGCAAAAAAACAATATCAATATTGATAAATATTATAGACTATTAAATAATTTAATCATTCGAGGTGTCTCTTTTCAGAGCAGAGAGTTTCTTAGAGCAAAAATTATAAAACCCAACAAAAAAACCGAGAAAAATCTTATGCAAGAACTTAGTGCACCTATACACATGTTTTTTAATTTTTAATTTTTTTATTCACCGGCAAAATCTTGCTAAGGTACTTGGAAAATTTTTAGGTACTTGAGAATATTCATTAATCGGCCATTCATCCAGATAACTCTTATGAATTTTAACTGTTTGTTAACAAGCCCAACGGATTGACAGAACGACTAAAGTTTTAAAGTTTTTTTCGCTTGCGAACTTCTTTAATCGGAACACTAGGCTTTAATATTTTTGTGAGGACTTGATGAACGTTCACACAGTGTTCATCTCAGGTGGTTAGCAACGCGATCGTCGATCTGAGTACTAGGCTTTATCGTGAAGATTCTAGATTTTCTTAGGCAGACCTGGTAAAGAGTTATTGGACAGTATATGTCAAAACCGTACTTAAAAACGCTTATTCGGTCAATATCTAAAAAAAAGTCGCTATAATATATAAACACGAGCTAAGCCAAAGAAATCCAAAATTAGTTTTAACAAGTTTCGAAAAGCACTTTCAGAACCCGAATCTTCATTTTCCTGGTGTTGTTCGAGTTTAATATAATAGAATGAGTAATAAATTCTACTATAGCTTGACATTTTGTTTCTAGGTCTAAAAACAATGATGTAAATTTTAATACCCTTGCAGAGGGTATAGGTTTGAAACGCAGTGAAGGAGACATTTCCGACCCTATAAGGTATATATATTCATGAAGAGCATAACCAGGAGAGTCGATCTAGCCATGTCCGTCTGTCCGTCTGTCTCTCTGTCAGTCTGTCCGTCGGTCAGTCCGTCCGTTTCTACGCAAACTAGTTTCTCAGTTTTAAAGCTATCAGATTGAAACTTTCCCCAAAGTTGTCTTTCTATTTCACGTAGTATATACAGTATGTCAATAAAGTGTTTTGACAATGGGAAAAAATTAAATATTTAAAGGTTTTATACAATAACAAGAAAGGAAAGCTAACTTCGGGCGGAGCCGAAGTTGATATACCCTTGCAGAATATTCTGTAAATTATATTCTCCAAAATTATTCATATGATGCATTCTTAATACTCATAAAAAATCCCAACTTCCTAACTTTAACAAGAGAGAACGCTATAGTCGAGTGCCTCGACTATTAGATACCCGTTACTCAGCTAAAAAAGTTCAAATTATCAATTTGAATTCGGCGATCTCTTAGTGCTGGCAGCTTTACAGCACGAGCATCAGCACCAGCGCTGCTTTAGCGCAGGCAGCTTTTGTCCTGCACCAGCAGCTGTGTTTATGTTTATGTTTTTGAGTGCAATAAATTGACTAGAAATATTAAACATACATACTTATATTGGCTAAACACATATGTACATTCTTAAATAGTATTATGTATATTAACGTCTAAATGTTTGCACAACACGAGTAACGGGTATAGCGAATAGCTTTCTTTGAAAGGAGTTATCTTTGCCGGGCAATTGCAACTGTGTACAATGTAAATACATACATATGTATATGCTTACATACATACACACATACGCCATTGTTTGACTCAGACCTCCGATTTGGCTAACTTGATTTGATTTGCATAGTTCTTGGGATATAGTTCGGTATTGACAAATGAAAACCATCGCAATTTCCTTTAATAGAAATCCTTATCGAGAATTAACGTTGACTCTGTTGAGCACCTTGGCCAGCTGTTCCAAAGTCATTACGTTAGATGGCGCTACCACGGGCCATGAAAGGCGGAAATGTAGCCGCTAGCCAGGTTTAAGCGTTTAATAGGTTTTTGGGCGTTAGAGTGGGCGTGGCAAACTTTTATTAGGCAAATCGATAGGTATTGACGAAACAAATACATATCAATTAAAATTTTCATAATAGCATCAAAACTGTGTCCACAGCTTGTGGCTTGTGGGCGTCAGAGGGGGCGTGGCACCATTTTGAAACAAACTTGCGCTGCGTAGGAACTCCTAAAATCTACATGCGAAATTCCAATCTTCTAGCTCTTATAGTTTCCGAGATCTCAGCGTTCATACGGACAGACAGATAGACGGACAGACAGACGGGCAGACGGACATGGCTAGATCGACTCGGCTAGTGATCCTGAACAAGAATATATATACTTTATAGGGTCGGAAACGCTTCCTTCTACCTGTTACATACTTTTGCACGAATACAATATACCCTTTTACTCTACGAGTATAAAAACACCAAAGTTATGGGTAAAAAAAGTAACTTTGCAGTGTTTTTTAATTTTTTTTAAATATTATTATGATTATGTTGGTATCTTAGATAAAATTAATGAACAAAAAAACAAATTTCTTTAGTTAACTTTCTTACAAATAAATAAAATCAAATAACATTCAGTTTTCATACTGTCAAGAAAGTGTTTTGACAAAAATTAAAAGTGTTCTTATTTTCTAAAGCCTAGTATCCAGATCGACGAAAACCGTACGCCAGTCATGAGAAAGAGCGAGAGGCAAACAGCTGGCGTTCACTTTTCGTCGGGCCTTTTTTTCACGACGGTCTCCTGATCGACGAAAAAAATACCAGAAAATTCCATAGCGTTGCCAGTCTGCGGAAATTAGCTTTGGGTGAACCCTAGCGGAAAAGATTAAAGCCTAGCATCCAGATCGAGAAACGATTACGCTAGCGTAAAAATTTTAATCTTTCCAGTGTGACCAAAAGTTTGAGAGTTCATCAGAGTTAAGCGTGCTACGGTCGTACTGTCAATCAGCTGGGTTTGTTGACAAGCAGTTAAAATTCAAATATCGTATTTGCGGGAAAGAGCCTTTAAAAGATATTATCAAATACCTTGGCAAGACAAGTCTGCCGCTGTACAAAGAAATTAAAATACAATACAATTTAAATTTAACAGTTCTTTTTTTTAATTTACTGATAATTATTTGCTAATTTAAAGTTCTTAACTGCACTTTTATTGTGTTTTTTCGTACATTCTGGACCTAAAAAACATTTTGCTCTGACAAGAGGCACCCCAGAAAGTATTAATGTTATTTTGTCTTCACATGTAAACACCTGCAATCGACTTTTGCGAGTTTTTTGAGTTTTTCCCTCCATTTCTTATAGTGTTCAGTGAGAAGCGCACGCCAAAAGATTAAATTTTTTAATCTTTTCCGCTAGGGTTCACCCAAAGTTAATTTCCGCAGACTGGCAACGCTATGGAATTTTCTGGTATTTTTTTCGTCGATCAGGAGACCGACGTGAAAAAAAGGCCCGACGAAAAGTGAACGCCAGCTGTTTGCCTCTCGCTCTCTCTCATGACTAGCGTACGGTTTTCGTCGATCTGGATACTAGGCTTTAACATCGAAAAGAGACTTTCGTTTACCAAAATGCACAAAGAGAAGCCAATGGATTTTTGGAATAATGTCTTATTCTGCGACGAAACGAAAATGATGTTACACTACACTTAAGGAACATCCCGAGTGTGGCGAAAGCCTTTAACAGCCTTACAGACACAAAATACTATTCCGACAGTTAAGTTTGGAAAACTGTCCATTATGGTGTGGGGCTGCATTTCGAGCAAAGGGATGGGAGAGTTGGCTTTCATCGAAAATATAATGGATGTTAACCAATATTTGGACATTTTAAAGACAAATCTTTGGTGCAGTGCAAAGAAATTTGTATTTTTTTATAAAAAAACAATTTTAAGAGTTTATCAAAACTAAGTGTTCTAATGTCGTACTGTTAATAAGATGGGTTTATTGATAAATATATTATCTTCAAACAAGAAAGGAAGCAAACTTGGACAAGCCGAAGCTTATATACCCTTGCAGTTATTGTTGTTTTTAAAAACAATGAAGCTATGTCGATTTTGAGCCGAATTTTGCCATTGTTTCTCTGGCAGCTATAGCGTCTGAAATCATATATATATATATATACAAGAAAGTCGTGTTAGTTACTTCACTTATAACTCAAGAACGGCTGAACCGATTTAGCTGAAAATTGGCAGGGAGGTAGTTTAGAGCCAGGAGAAGAACATAGGATTTTTACTTTTTTACTTTTTTTATCCCGTTCGACAGACGTCAGTCACTGTAAAACGTGGTATAACAAAAAATAATCTGATTTGGAATAACAAAATTGACGTATAATGAAAAGAATGGATTTCGTTGTCGACAACAGTTGGATTGTTCCATATTCGC